CACTATTAACTACAAGCAACGGCATACAAACCATGGCGGCAACACCACATTCCTAAGCACAAATGGCCACGCAGGGGCAAGCGGAGCCCGGATCTACATCCGGTGAGCTCCAAGGGCATGAAGAATGCCAGTCAAAGTCCGCCACAGCTCCCGGACCACCAGCGTACTTGCGCCGATCGCCGCGGCTCCAGATCCAGCGCGCAAGTGCCGCTTCAAGCTCCGGACAGCCTTGTCCAGCTGTCCCGCAGCAGCAGCGCCACCCTCCGCGGGCGCAGCCAGCACGGGCGCCAGCAGCACGGCGAGCTGGTCTGCCGCATCCAAGCAAGTCTCGCGCGGCCGGTCGCGAAACGTCTCGGGAGGAACCCCAGGGAGAGAGGAGTGAGCAAGGACCTGTATCAGCAGCAAAGCGTGGAGACTCTCTGCGAGGCGGTGGAGCTGACCGAGAGCCGACTCTGAAACACGCGTCTGCGGAGGCTGAAGTGCCTCCGCCAGGAACTGGAGCGGCTCATCAGCTGCACAATGAGCCGCTGCCGCGCCACCACTCGCGGCCACAAACTCCACCCCCGCAACAGGCGGAACCGTCGGCAGATGCAGACGAGAACCGGGAGATGGCGCTGCCACAGAAGGATAGGGAGCTGACGGGACGAGGACAGGGGAAGGAAGCGGAGCAGCCGCCGGAGGAACCACGGGAGGCACAGGTGGGCGAGGAGCCAAGTGCGCCGACGCAGCCTGCGGCGAACTGCTCTGGCTCTGCGCCGCCCTCTCCTCGCGAACGGCCCGGGACACCTCCCGCTGAAGATCCGCCATCGTCACAGGTGGACGATACCTCCCGCGACCAACACGCCCGGGGAAACCCCTCCAGTCACCATTGCCGCCAGTACGAGCAGGCCACTGGGCCTGTTGCTGATAACGCCGGGGGGAGTTGCGCCGGCGCCGCGACGTCTCGCGCTCTCCTTGAGGCGCGGGAGAATGAGGGCGTGATTGGCGGCGGTTTGGCGACGGGGGACGAGACGGCTGCACCGCAAGGGCCGCCTGCAGCTAAGCGGGAGCCGCCGGTTCCGCGCCAGGAGGAACAACCAACGGAGCCGGGTCGACAGTGGTGGCGGACGCCGCCTTTGGGGAAGAAGCAGACGCCGGCACGGGCCCGCCGGGGACAGACGCGGCCGGTACAACCAACGCGCCAAGCGCAGGGGCAGGACGTGCAGCATTCCCCCCAGCAGACACAGACGCCTCCGCCGCTCCACCTGGAGCAGGGGGTATGGGAGCCGCAGGCGGAGCGGGAGGGGGTCCAACATGAGCAGACGGGCCAGCCTCTGCCACGCCTTGCGGAGCCACGGGTGCGTGGGGAGGTGTCCTTTCAGAGACTGTTTTCCCGGCGTTCGGAGCGGGCGGTAGAAGGGGTTTCGTCGTCGTGGTCCCCTTTTCGGGTACCGACTGAGGCCTGGCGACGACAGCCGACCAGGCGACAGCGCGCTCTGGCAACGGCTCATCAACACCAGCAATCACCACCATCTCGAACGCGAGGTGATCGCAGGACGAACCACGTAGCAGGAAGCGGAGTTGGCGGGGGCCCAGAGAACGGATACCAAGCGGCAGCACGTGTGGCTTTAATTAACGTACAATCAGCTAATGAAGAGGACGAGCGAAGGGACCCCTCTTATAGGAGAGAAGCCACGCCGGATAGCGAGGATGAAGGGGAGGAGGAAGGAGACGGGGTGAGGGAGAGATCTGGGAGAAGAGAAGCCGGGGCCAGGACAGCACGAGCACATCCGCTCCAAGAGGCACGCACGCCGCACGATGCTGATCGGACGGTAGAGCCTCCAACATTTGCCTCACCAGCGGGATCGAGTCGCCCTCGACGAAATCGGGCCGCGAGTAGGGGGGCTGCTTCACGACCGGCCGCTTCGGCCCCCCGCTATTTTTCGCCTGAGGAATTGGCGAAGCGAGCCGACCTGTTCGCTGCGATTGGGGATTGGGATGTCGCGGCCTTGTGCGACTCTCGTCAGCCCTCGCTGTCGCGGCGCTTACCGCCAAATCTGTGTCAGCTGTTCTCGCTTGTGTTACTGACGCCGTTACTGCATCTCTCCCGAAACCCGGAGTTGGAAACAAATTGGCGTCTGCTGCTGTATCTCCGGCGCCTGACCCTTCGCCAAACCTCGCCGCAACGACCGGACTGGCCGAAAGTAAAGGCCCGGCTGCGAGCCTTCCAACGTGGCGAATGGGAGCAACTGTACCTGGACACGATTGCTACAGTCAACACGCCACCCCCGCCTCGGCACAGGCCAGACGTGACAGGAGTAATCAAACGGGCCGAGGGGCTGGCGAAACGTGGCAGCCTACGACGAGCCGTTCTTGCATTGGAGTCAACGCCTGTCTGCACGCCCAGCCCCGAAATCCTGGAGGAACTGCGCCAGAAGCACCCACCAGCTGTTGACGAGGGGGTGATCTGGCCGACACCTGAGAAGTCAACGCTTTCAATCGCTCACGCGGATTTCGCAAAGCTGTTGGGCAGATGCGAAAATGGAGTTGGGGCTGGGCCGTCGGGGATGACATTCGAGCATTTGCGCGACTCGGCGATCATAAATGCGCTGGTCAGCACCCATCTGCACGCCCTGGTTAATACAATTTTGGGAGGAAATTTGCTAGACACGGTGGCGAATCTGTTAACCGCGTCGCGCCTCATCGCCTTGGCCAAACCGGGGGGTGGCGCCCGGCCAATCGCCATTGGCGAATGTTTGAAAAGGCTGGCAGCCAAGGCAGCCCTGTTAGCAATGGGGGAGGCAGCTCGGGCCTTTTTCCTCCCTCTGCAGTACGGCGTGGCAGTGCCAGGTGGCGCCGAGACTGTGATCCACGCGGCCAGGGCCTTCTTGGACGCCCGCCCCGACAGCCTCGTGCTGCAAGCTAACATCAGGAACGCATTCAACAGCATCTCGCGACAAGCCATCGCCACCGCGTTACAGACCCCCGCCCTCTCGCCGCTTCTGCCGCTCGTCAAGTTCACATACGGTAACCCGTCGCAGCTGCTCCTCGATGCAAACTTCGAGTCCGAACCACTGCGAAGCGAACGCGGTGTCCGCCAGGGGGACCCACTCGGCCCGCTGCTATTCGCAGCAGGAATACATGCCACACTTTGCGATACGGCAGACACACACCCCAGGGTGCTTTGTTTGGCGTATGCAGATGACGTGACGTTCATCGGGGAACAAGCAGACACTGTAGCGGCATTTTCGTACTTCACCAACAAATTGTCCCTCCTGGGGCTCGAGCACAACCCCCAAAAATGTGTTGCGTGGAGCTCCAGTACGGTACAAGCACCGCACCTACCCCCAGGAGTGCCGTTTTCAAACGCTGGCGTCCAGCTACTGGGGAGTTTTCTGGGACCGGACGACGGCGCGGCTTCTTTTCTGGCGGAGCAGTTAGCTGACATGGCGAAGCCGCTGACGCTCATCGAACGAACGGATCCCCAGGTCGCATCACTGCTTATCACGCGATGTATATCGAGGCGTGTTGCGTACCTGTCACGGACGACGCCCCTCAATCTTCTTCCCCGCAACAAATGGAGCCAGTGGGGCATGGACCTCCTCACCACGCTCCTTACCGCCTGTGACATCCGCATGCCGACGTGCCAATCGGAGCAGACGAGGGTTTGGGAGCAGGCGTCACTGCCTCCGTCATTAGGGGGGCTAGGCATTACGAACCCCCTGATTGAGGGGGTCTACGGTTTCGCGGCGAGCTTCACCCAGGCGGCGCTGTTTCTCAACGACCTCACGCTGGGCGACGGGAATGCACTGAAGCAGGCACGGGACCACATGCTCCTGCCGCGGGACACCAGCACGCCACTTCACGTTTGGGTGAAGGGGTGTGAGGAGGCACTGCCGACAGACGCTCGTGAGATACTGGAAAAGGAGCGGTTGGAGCGATCGGACATACGTCTTCAACACGTCCTCGGGCTGCAGGTACACGGCAGCAGATACGCCGTGCAGGTCCAGGCAACTAGGCGCATGCGGCTGAACCCACTCTCAGGCCACACTCAGCGCATGTTTTCGCTGACGGGATACGGCGCCGGCGATTGGCTAACCGCGATACCCATTGAAGCGACTAGGCGTATTGGCCCCGTGCACTTCGCCAACTCTGTCAAATTCCGCTTGGCCCTCCCATTCTCGACTCCTAAGAATTGTGACTGTGCGGACAAAACGGCTATCACCGACCCCCGCCTGCCGAACCATCTCTTGCGCTGCGGCTTGGGCAAACACCGCATTAACAGCCACAACGAGCTGCGTGATGCATGCATTAGCATGGCGCAGCACGCAGGTTTCATTGTCCACAGCGAGTCGGCCGCCCATTGCCCCATCGAGGAGCAAACTGCCAACTTTACCATGACGGATCGAAGCAGTGGGGCGGTGTATGTGTGCGATGTCACTATCACGGATCCCATAAGCACGAGGGACCCAGAGGCGCAGAAGGGCAGGGGATGGGCGGCACGGGAACAAGCTGATAAGAAAATCCAACATTACGCCAACCGGCCGGAGACGGTTGGCTTTTTCCCACTGGCAGTCGACACCTATGGCTGCCCATGCGCGGAAGTACCAACCTTCCTGAAGCTATTGGCAGACACGGCGGCTCGGCGGCACTTCAACGCCGACTCAAAATCATGCTATGCCGCAAAGTTTCTACTTCAGTTTCGACAGAGATGGTCGGTGGCCCTCCAAAGGGCACAGTCCGTGGGCCTCCTCATGAAGATGGGCGAGGCGGCTGCAGCTGAGAACCCGCCTGTGGGCGGCATTGGGCAGGAGTTGCACCTTGGAGATTGCTTTGCAGTGATAGAGCCCCTCCTAGATCTTTAGGGGGGGTATAGGGTAGGACTTGCTTTTGTGTGTATGCTTCTATACCTTGCATGCTTGTACCTGGCTGCCATATCAATACAAGGACCATTAGAGACACTCGCTACCGTGCTGCGCTCCCCGCCAAGTTTCTCGCCAAGCCCCCCCCCCCCCCCCCCCATGTACATCACGCTCTACTTCATAGTCAACCGCCTCCCTGACTCTCTTACCCCAGTCAGTGACCTCCTTCTCGGCCTTGACCCCACCGACCTAACTGTTGACCTGCTCGAGAAGCACCTCCTAGCAACTAAGACTAGCATAGTCGCTGTAGGTGCTTCTCGTGGCACTCCTCGCACTCCCTTCTTTGAGGGGTGTTCGCCCTCCCCCCTTCTCCCCTTATTCGCCTCTGCTGCAGCTGTTGACTACCTTCGAGCTGAGGAGGTAGGAGCTGCGTCTGCCCCTGGTGGGAGGCGCCGCAGCGGCAGGGGCAGGGGAGGCAGGAGCAGTGGGGGTGGTAGAGGTGGAGGCGGTGGTGGGGGCGGTGGAGGAGGTGGAGGGGGCGGCGGTGGAGGAGGTATTGGTGGTGGGGGTGGAGGGGCAGGTGGCGGCGGTGGTGGCGGCACTGGGAGTGGTGGAGGTGGCGGTGGTGGCGGCAGTGTGGGTGGAGGCGGCGGCAGTGGTAGCGGCCGGGGTGGTACCAGCCAGAGGGAAGGCCTTGGAGGTGGCCAGAGGCAGTAGCAGCGTCAGCCCCTTTTGTCTCAGGAGCTCCGTGAGTGGTTTACTGCGCCTCCTCAGGTAGCTGCGTCTGCGTCTGCGTCAGGTCAGCTTGTGGCCCCCTGCTCGTGTCGCGCCCTGTCGCACCTGACGCTCCTTTGGCCCCACCGCCTTGGTCACCCCTCTATGGCACGCCTCCACGCACTCCCGTCTCCTTGTTTCTGGTCTTCCCAGGTCTCTGCCTCCCCTCCCACCCTCGCCTACCCCTCCCTGCCTTCCCTGTGTCGAGGGGCGGCAGCGCGCCACTCCTCACTCCTCGTTCCCCCCGACAGAGGCTCCCTTGCAGACTCTCCACCTAGACGTGTGGGGTCCAGCCCATGTCCATGGACAGGGCCACGAGCAATACTTTCTGCTGGTTGTCGACGAATATACGCGTTACACCACGGTCTTCCCCTTGCGCGGCAAGGTGGAGGTCTCTGATGTTCTGATCCCTTGGATCCGCGCTGTTCGTCTCCAGCTCCGCGAGCGGTTCGAGATGGACCTTCCTTTCCTGCGTCTGCACTCTGACAGAGGTGGTGAGTTTTCCTCCGACCTCTTGAGGGCCTTTTGTCGTGCAGAGGGCATTCGCCATAGGTTCACGCTTCCGGCCTCTCCGCAGCAGAATGGGGTAGCTGAGCGCCGCATGGGCTTAGTCATGGAGTTCGCTTGTCCCTCCATGATCCATGCGGCTGCCCTCCATTTTATGTAGCCGTTTGCAGTCCAGTGCACTACGCATCAGCTCAACCTCTGGCCCCGTGTCTCCTTGCCGGAGACCTCGCCCACACTGCATTGGACAGGGGAGGTTGGCGACTCGTCAGCGTTCTAGATCTGGGGATGTCGAGCCTTTGTCGGCGATACGTCCGTGAACTAGCTCTCCTCCCGCGCCGTTTCGTGTGTCTTCCTTGGCTTTGTCCCTGACGCGCCTGGATGGCAGTTTTACCACCCCACCTCGCGCCGTGTCCTGCCCTCTCAGGACGTCACGTTTGATGAGTCGGCCCCCTTTTACCGTCTCTTCCCCTACTGCACTGCCCCTCTCCCTTCCTCGCACCACGTCCTCCTCTGGTAGACCCCCTCCCCCCTCAGGGTCCTGCTCCCTCAGGTGTGTCCCAGGTAGACCCTGTCGATCCTATCGAGGTAGGTATCGACTCTGGTGCTGCTAGAGGTTCTGCATCTGGGGGTGCTGTGCCTGCGGGTGCGGGGCCTGGGAGTGCTGAGCTTGAGCGTGCTAAGCCTGGGGTTGCTGAGTCTGAGGGTGCGGAGCCTGGGGGTGCTGAGCCTGGGGGTGCTGAGCCTGAGCGTACGGAGCCTGAGGTGCTGAGCCTGGGGGTGCTGAGCCTGAGCGTGCTGCGCCTAGGGGTACTTTGTCTTCTGGAGGTCCTCCGGGTGTCTCGTCCCGTCAGGAGACGCTCTGTCCACCACAGCTGCGCGATTGGTTTGCTCGGCGCTGGAGCCTCCAGAGTGGTGCTGCTGGAGCTGGAGCTCCGGGAGGTGCTGGAGCCCCTGGTCCGGAGGTGCTCGTACTGGAGGTACTGGAGTTGCTGGGGCTGGGGGAGCTGATGGAGCTGCTCGAGGTGCTGCTAGAGGTGGAGCTGCTGGAGGTGCTGGAGCTACTGGAGCTGGAGGTGCTGCTGGAGCTGGAGCTGGAGCTGCTACTGGAGCTGGAGCTGCTGGAGGTGCTGCTGGAGCTGGAGGTGCTACTTGAGCTGGAGCTGCTAGAGGTAGTGGAGCTGCTGGGGCTGGAGGTGCTGCTAGAGCACGAGCTGGAGGTGCTGCTGGAGCTGGAGCTGGAGGTGCTGCTAGAGCTCGAGCTGCTGGAGGTACTGGTGCTTTTGGTGCTGGTTCTGGAGGCGCTGAGCGACCGCGTCCGTACTTCATTCCACTGCTTCAGCAGATTCTTGGTCTTTCGCCTTCTACTAACCTTACTCCTCCCTTATTGTGTCCACTGCCTGACCAGTCCCACCCGCAATTACAGCCAGCGTCCCAAGTGCCGGCTCCTTCTCCTTACACCGAGCAGCCCGGAGGTCTTACAGAGCGTCGTGAGCCTCCGTCTCATCCTGCGTCGCCTATTCACGCTGTTCGCACTGGTTGTCATCTTCCGCGTCAGCGTCCTCCTCCTATCCCCGGCACACACCAGATGGCACTTCGTCCTTCCTCTGTTCCACTACGTGTCCCTCTGCCGTCTCCTCCTGCTTCCTCCCTTGCTGACGGTCCGGACCCAGAGTCTGACTCCCTTCGTGCTGCTAGTCCTACTGTCACGCGTCTCCTGGCCATTGTTGTCACTGACCCTTCCTTTGAGTCTACAACTGCGTCTGCTTTGTTGCTGAGCTGGCTGACTTTGATGCCGCCTGTCGTCTAGACTACGCCGCTAGCCTTGTTGCTGAGTCAGATTCTGTGTGTCCTCCGTCTGTCCGGGGTGAGTGTGCTCTTGTCACGGACGTCCTTGAGGACAGGCAGGAGGACTTTGAGTGTTTTGCAGCTCCTGTACCTCATCTTGTGTCCATGGTGATTGCACCTGAGGGAGACCCGGATGCACCAGACATCCCGACCCCGCGCTCTTACGCAGAGGCGATAGAGGGTCCCTACTCCTCTCAGTGGCAGTCAGCCATGGACGCAGAGATGGCATCCTGGAAGTCCACAGGCACTTACGTCGACGAGTTTCCCCCACATGGGGCGAACATCGTCAGTGGCATGTGGATTTTCAGGGTGAAGTGGCCGCCGGGTTCTCCGCCTGTCTTCAAGGCGCGTTATGTTGCACGAGGCTTCAGTCAGCGACATGGAGTTGACTTCTTCCAGACCTTCTCCCCTACCCCAAATATGACCACTCTTCGGGTACTGCTGCACATCGCCGCTCAGCGTGACTACGAGCTTCACTCTCTTGACTTCAGCGCTGCTTTCGTACAGGGCAGCCTGCACGAGGAGATCTGGCTGTGCCGCCCACCTAGCTTGACTGGGTCGTTTCCTGTAGGTACCTAGTGGAGCCTCCGGCGGCCGGTCTACGGTCTCCGCCAGGCGCCTCGCGAGTGCCACGACACACCGAGGATGACTGTTGCGGCTCTTGGGTTTGCTCCTTCTACTGCTGACCCGTCGCTATTACTATGCACCAACACTTCGCTGCTGCCGTTCTACATCCTCATGTAAGTCGATGACTTGGTCTTTGCCTGTGAGAGTACGACGGCTTATTCCAGCTATGCTTGCTTGCCTAGACTTTATTATGCTATTTCTAGCATAGGTTTATTTTATGCATGCATGAATTGCTTGATTTCCTAGGCTAGGTGCTCTCCTATATTTTATTTAGGGATGAGCATATTGGCGAACACCTGTTCGGTTCGTCTCGATTGCCTAAAAAAGTTCGTCCCGAACATGTTCGACGTTCGGGCGAACATGTTCGCTGTTCGCCGGCCGCGATGTCCCGAGGCGCGTCGAACGTGAACATGTTCGTGTTCGACACGCTTGTAGACGAACACCTAAGATGTTCGTCGCTGAAGGTGCCGTGACCTAATTTAGGGTCGCGGCCCTCACAATTGTTGCTCATTTTTTCCAGCTTGTCGACCATGGCGCTCCCAACAGCCCGCCCACCCTACAACCACCTACCACACCCACACCTTCTTGTAGTAGCATAGGCCCTAAACCGTACTTATAAAACTATGGCGTTTAGGGTTTATGGTAACTTCGATGTTCAACACTAAGAACGTAGCATCTACTCCAAGGTTGAAGATTCATCTGTACTTTTAGGGTTTGCACCACCGTTGAAGTGGTTTCCACCGTTAAATCTATAGAATTGTAGTGCTACCCCTCTAAAGCGAACACGGACAGGTTCTTGGCGAACGTGTTCGTGTTCGCCAAAACTGTCACCGCATATGCAAGGGATGCATATGCAATAACAGTAGAGTGCGGTGCTGTGAAGTAGTATAGCAAATAGCTAAGAATGCATTGAGGTAGATAGATAAGAAGTAGTGTAGGAGGTGTAGCCAGTAGCGAAGTGTCGGTTGCAAAGGGGTGCAGAAAGGGGGAAATATGTGGGAGCGGTTGGGATGAAGGGGGAAAAGCACCGAGGGGCGAAATGTGGGATTCGAACAAATCCCAACCTCGAGCCGCACATTGGAAATGTGCAAGCCGAGGTTGGGTAAGGTCACCCACGCCCACTCACTCGATGCCTATTGTTCAGTATTCTTTCATACTAGTGCAGGGCTGTTATCCTAGCTACTACACGCGGTGGCACAGCACTAAGAAGGAACCGGTGGGGTGAGGGAGTGATCCCGTTCATACTGAACAATAGGACGCGACACGCAGTCATGGATAAATATGAGCTACGTTGGGGTAGGGTGTTTAGTCGCCGGGAGGAGGAACGAGCACGAGGTGAGCCGTCACGCGAGCGCGGGCGATCTCTGGAGCGCTCGCCGCGAAGGCCGGCATTTCGCGGAGATAGAGTCCCCGTCGCTGGGGACCGACGGGCGGAAGGGAGGCCTAGCGTAGCAGCGGATGGAGAAGGATACGCCGCAAGCGCGGACGGAGACGTGTGGCGAAGAGGGCATGATCGCGGAGATGGATACGGGAGCGGAGACCGACGCGCTGTGGGAGTGTTCCGCTCGCCGGAAGAGCGCGGGCGCCGCCGTGATGAGAGGGGCCGTTGGCAGGGCGTCGAGCGATTCGACGCCAACCAAGGAGGGGAGGCCGCAGAAAAGGAAGAAGCGTGGGAGACGTCCGGCGAGGAAGAGGCAGAGGAGGACGCAGCGAACCCGGAACGGGCGGTCGAAGACGCCAACGGAGAAGATGACGGCGAGGAACCCGCGGCTGGGATCGGAAGCGCCGAGCCTGAAGAGGCGGACATTGCCGGGGGCGCAAGCCAGGCAGGGGCGGAAGGATCGCGGTCGGGACGGTCGGAATCACGCGGCCGCGACGCAAGCCGCCAGGAGGAGCATTACGCGGAGAGGTCGCGTCAGCAGGAGCGGCGGGACTGGGGCGTGCATGCCGGCGCTGTGGGGACG